TTCAATATTTTTTAACCTTCCATTTTTGACCCTCAAGCGCAAATATTGCCTTAGGCATCAGTCTCAAGTACCTACCAGTACGTGGTCCTGAGAAAGGCGGTAAGCAGACAAGCGAATCATGATGGTAGCCTGGAATCCCAAAAATTAGATGGAAGGCTAGCCACAAGACACCCTTATTGTAGCAGCATCTTTCCAAACACTTCATGCTAATCATAATTAGATTTTCTACTTCTGCTTCTTACTCGATGTACTGAAATGTCTCTGGTCTTTAACCCCCGTCTGCTGGCCAGGGCTTGCAAGCAATCGCTGGTATTACTTGTTTCATATAGTACACCCCAAGTGATAATGCTAATAATTCTACTTAGTTCGCAGTGCCCGCTCGCAGCATCACTTTGCCAAGTAGCCCAGATGCTATCGATAATTCAAGCTCTGACGTACCTCAGAGCATAGCTGGAATATCACCACTGTAAGTGGCTTCTGTATAGTATTCGATGCAAGCTCTGGCTGACTTTCGACTGCTGTTAGCTCAACGAAACGGGACCAACATCCTGCATCATGTACCAAAAACTGGTCAGTCATTACAAGCTCTTTTCAATGATCAATCTTTAGGAGAGACGTGCGCTTACCCTTCCAACAGGGCGGAGCGCCTGGACGGTATCAACTCTAAATCCAGGTTGCCTCGAAGTGTGCAAGCAGTGTATTTGCGGCCTCTCCGAAGGAAAGCCGAATACGGATTGCCGGTTTGCGATCTTCAACTTCGGTCGTACAGTGTTCGCAATGTGGAGTTCTTCGCTGATTTCGCCGTGCGTGCTGCCTACTACTTAAAACTTCCTGTCTCCGGTCCTGTGCCTCTGCCACGCATCGTTGAACGTTGGACATTCCCTCGAAGCAATTTCGTGCACAAGAAAAGCCAGGAAAACTTCGAACGGATTACTCTTCGCCGACTGATTCAAATCAAGGATGGCAACCCTGAGGCTGTACAGACGTGGTTGGCATTCTTACGAAAGCATGCTTTCTATGGAGTGGGCATGAAAGCTAACGTTTGGGAACACGAGAGCCTTGGTACGCTAGAATTTATTTTTATCTTATTCTATATCACCCTCGAGTTTAGTAACTAACCCATGGCTACAGATGTGTTCAAGAATATAGATAAGGCGGCCCCTGAGGTTGAACGGTCCCTTGAGCCTCACCTATCACACTTCGGTCAACGGAGTGGTGAAGGGGCGCAGAGTTCGATACCTGATCTTCTGGGTGGCATGCGACTTCCGAAGCACAGAAGTCCATTAAGCAGCGTCCGCAAAGGCTAAGTTCAAGCCAATAGTTCTCTGTATACTTTGCCATTGAGTGCTGCTCACGTCAAATCTCTGTATTTCTATTTTTAGCCTTATATATTAGTCTGATAAGTTTAGCACAAGACTTCTCAATCCATATTGTACCATTCTATTGCCTGGATCATAGTCTGAATAATATAATCATGGGATTCATATAAATAATGTGGTAATGTTGCTTTGGCCGCACTGAAAGCAACAGGAGGCAGAAAGTCACGTGCTCCGCGCATACATTGAACTGCTGCTTTAAAGAGACTGGGACAAATGCGCACACCAATGCATTCAAGTCTCTCTCATTTTTCAAACGTAGCCGCTAGACATGCATGTCAGCCGCTATGCATCATGCACCCCAAGCACTCACAGGGCAACAAATGCCCTCTTGCAGCCGAGGGATATCAAGTTCAACATGAAAAGCCACCTCCGAAGATGGAGTAGCTCAGTCACAGCGCAGCCATCATCAATATCTAGTCAGACTATATTTTCTGGGATTCAGCCAACTGGTGTACCACACTTGGGGAATTATCTGGGTGCTTTGCGTGAATGGGTCAGGCTACAGGATAATGCTACCGAGGGGACGAGGTTATTCTACTCCATAGTCGACTTGCATGCCTTGACTATACCACAAGACAGTTGTCAGTTGAAGAAGTGGCGGAGGGAGGCGTTTGCGACATTGCTCGCTGTAGGCTTGAACCCCGATCGCTCAACCATTTTTTATCAGTCGGCTGTACGTTCTAATCAATTGAACCCCGATGCTCTACACTCCCATCCAAGCGCACCCATTGACTATGGCTAGGTTCCTGCGCATACTGAACTATATTGGATCCTAAGTACAGTGGCTTCTATGGGATACCTGTCACGGATGACTCAATGGAAGGTGAGCAATAGTGAACATTAAAAATGAGGCGCAATTTGTCTTGGGAAGCAAACAGACGTAAATGTCAGACATGGATCTTGAGATTGACTACATATAGAGCAAGTTGCAACTACCAGAAAACACAAACCTGGAGCATTCGGCTGCCAGGTCTAAGCTGCGGCTTGGCTTATTCTCTTACCCTGTATTGCAGGCAGCGGACATCTTATTGCACAGGTTCGGTAATTAATTATAAGGGATGAAGCTGTACTGACACGGGCCAGGGCTACTCATGTTCCTGTTGGGGAGGATCAAAGACAGCACATTGAGTTTTCCAGGTATACTGCTAATAGTTTTAACCACCTCTACGGCCATATTTTCCCATCTCCAGAGGCACTCATCTGTAAGCCTCCTATTCACGAATCACGATACAAAAATAGACCCTAGAACTGCGCTGACTCATACAGCACCTGCAAAGCGAGTTATGTCTCTCAAAGAGCCCACCTTGAAAATGTCCAAGTCGCATGCCGACAGCCGATCAAGAATCCTCCTCACTGATTCATCTGATGATATTCACAGGAAAGTTAAGGCTGCTCTAACTGACTCGGACACAAGCATAACCTATGATCCTGTCCGCCGGCCGGGCGTGTCTAATCTCATAGAAATTCTAAGCCACTTGGACGCAAGATCGTGCGACGACTTATCTTTGGAGTACAAATCGGTGAGCCTTCGAGCTCTGAAAGAAGACCTGGCAAGTCGAATCTCAGGTCACCTGCAAGGAATAAGAGAGCGGTACTATTCGCTCATGGAAGACAACTCTGGATATCTGGATACTGTCACAGAGCAAGGTGCCCAGGCTGCACGTGCCAATGCCGATGTGACTATGAAACAGGTTAAGAAAGCCATGGGGCTGTAAGGGCCATTCATCCTTTCTATTAGGGCATCCATGGCTTTTCATGACCTTTGCTTTCCCTAATGAGCAGTGAATAGTCCCGATTAAGGCGATAGGGCTAGCGTTTGCATATACGTAAACATCATGTATCTATACTGTATTATAGTTTTTTCATACTCTCCCTAAATCTTACATGATATAGTAAATCGGCCATATCAAAAGTAAGGGTCGGAGTCGCCTCCTTAGGGGAACAGTGGATTTGCTATCATTTGACGTACTTTTGTGCTACTCTTATGTCAAAATAAATTGTTGTTGCCTAAGATAGGCAACACAATAACATTGTGTGGCACGTTGAATGATAGATAGTTAGAGGGCTATTTCACTAATCTCGCTACTATGTAGTAGTCTTGCTAGCCTGCTTCAGGAACTTGCAAGACCTCCATTAGTCCAGCCCCGTCAGGATTCAGCCTAGCTCTACAGAGTAGACTGTAGTACCAGCCTATCCGTATAGTTTTCAGTTATACTACAAGTTAAAAGCACCTATAAACCCTGTCTTGGTCTACTAACAACCAACGAGCCTGCTTTTGGTGCTGAATAAGCCACGTAACTAGATTTTCTAGATAGGTAGGCGTGAGCAGCGTGACATGTGAGCCATATCCCCCTGCTCGTAACTGCCAAGGCTATTGATAAGTAAAAAAACAACTCAGACGAACTTATAAATTTTACTGTATTTTTCTTGAAGTCCGATTTATTTTATGTACTTATTTTTAAGTAGTTATAATTATAAATCAGTCACTCTGGCGTAGAAAATAGTTAAAAACTCTAATTTTAACTCTACAGTTGTGTTTTCAACTACGTACTACGTAACCCGGTAGTATTCCGCCTTCTGCCTATTAGGCGGTTTCGGCCCGCCCGACCCACTAGGCAAGACCCGAACTGACCTGGAGCATAGTTATGCGGTAGGTACGTGACCTGTCTACGAGACCGTTCCAGTAGAAAGAAGCTCTGGCTAGTAGTAAGGTGTTCGTCAGTACTTGCGGTGTGGTATACTACAATGTATGGAGTAATGCTGCTTGGTCTGTTGTACGCAGTGGAGTTTACCGAAAGGTCCTGAGGCCTCCGATGACCACCATGACGTGAGTTGAAACTTGAGTTGACTCCCGAGCCAGCCGATTCTCCAGTGATGCCGCCAAATGTGCCGCGTCCTCCGTACCGAAAGCCCTATGTCAGTACGGAGTATGGAGTAATCGGCTTTCTCTTAAGCTTTCCACGCTATACCACAAAGAATCTCGAAAATATTTTAAAACAGCCAATAGTATATAGTATATACGAAGTAAGTCAAGTCAGATTACTACGTACTAAGTACCAGTTAGAGTATTTTGTAGCCTAGCGTCTCTGCAGACATGGAAACTCGGTATTATTAGTACATGATGAATGATGATGATGATGACGACTACAAGCATCACATTGACTTTGGCCCATTGGACTAATTTTTGAAAGCCCCACTCCGACCTTTGCCGAGGCGGTCTGAGTGGAGTCTTGCGCGATGTGTACTCCGGATAGTCAAGCAATCAACAGTACCGGACCGCATGCAGCGTACGACATCAGTTCCAAAGATTAGTGCTTTCCGTTACCATACAAGAACGCAGCCATGTCCCTATCAGCAGTTGTACATAAGAGCTTCCTTTTAGACTGTCTCTATTCTATCTTTTCTCGAAGTTTTTTTGCCATTTTTGGTTCCCTTGTCCCAACGTGAGATTGATTATTGTCTTCAAGGTACGGTGGGCCGGAAGAGCTTTTTGCTCATTTGCCAGCTCGAGGGCCTTGGTGAGCACTGATTTATGTAAGAAGAAGGCCTGGGGCCTTCTTTCGTAGGATTTGGGTCAAAGAAAGAAAGAAAGGATAAGGGAAATCGCATGATGCAAAAGTCATGGCTTGTGTTGCTCGCTGCTTGCCTTGGCTTGCAAGGGACAGCAGCGCTGACGCTCCACCGAAGAGACTCTCCGGCTGTTGTATCGTTGGATATCAAACGAAATAATGCCGTCGACCCTGTGGCTAGAGATCGGATGAGACGGAAGCGCGACAAGACCGTTGAGCAGAATCTTGACAATGAGGTATGTCGGCCAGACTGTTTACTCGATGTATGGCCACTAATTCACCACATGTGACATAGGAAACGCTATATTTCTGTAACATAACTTTAGGCACACCAAAGCAAAACCTACGGTTAGTTCTCGATACAGGAAGCAGTGATCTTTGGTGCAATGCAGCGAATTCTACGCTTTGCTCATCTAGAGATAAACCGTGCAACGCCTCAGGGTCTTACGACCCAGGTTCATCTTCATCATATGCTTACGTATCTTCGGATTTCAACATATCGTACGCTGACGGCACTGGAGCCGCCGGTGATTATGTTACTGACACTATCCACATCGGAGGCGCTACCGTCAAGGACTTTCAGTTTGGGGTGGGTTACTCGTCTAGCTCCGCCGGTAAGTCAATGCCGTCCTTCTTTACAGTATTCAACCAAACTTGTGTTGTTGATTAATCTTCCTCTCTTCAGAGGGTGTTTTGGGAATAGGATATACAACGAACGAGGTCCAGGTTGGCCGACTTGGTAAAAGTGCCTATGCAAATCTACCTCAAGCTATGGTCAAAAACGGTCTAATCCAATCAAATGCTTATAGCCTTTGGCTCAATGACCTGGGAGCAGATACTGGCTCGATTTTGTTTGGTGGCGTTAATACGGAGAAGTATCATGGGGAACTAGAAACTTTGCCGATTCAGACCGTCAATGGGGTCTATTCGGAGTTCATAATCGCACTAACCGGTGTTTCATTGAGCTCGGCATCAAGTCACCATAATTATTCATCTTCTGATGCTCTCCCAGCCGCAGTCCTGCTTGATTCGGGGAGTTCTCTGACATATCTTCCAAATTCCATTGTGCAAGACATCTATAATGATCTGGGTGTCACATACGAGTCATCCAGCGGTGTTGGCTACGTGCCATGTACCCTGGCACAACAAAAAATTAATGTGACCTACACCTTTTCGTCACCTGCTATTACAGTTGGAATTGATGAACTCGTTCTAAATGCAGGTGATTTGCGATTCCGGAATGGCGCACGTGCATGCATTTTTGGCATTGTACCAGCTGGAGATAGCACTGCCGTTCTAGGGGATACGTTTCTACGCAGTGCATATGTTGTATATGATCTATCCAACAATGAAATTTCCCTCGCCAATACAAATTTCAACTCTACCCGGGATAATATCTTGGAAATTGGAACTGGCGACGGTTCCGTTCCTGGAGCCACCCAAGTTTCAAATCCCGTCACATCTGTTGTGGCCGATGGGTCTGGTGCCAGGATCGGGGGTCCAACTGCTGAGATCTTTACTGATCTACCTTCAGCAACAAGTACCGGCGGCGCTGCGACACCTGCCGGGCCAACAAATGCCCCGAAGCACTTGGTCTTTGGCGCAGCGGCAATTGGATATATGCTCGCTTTTTGATGTAGATGGATATTCACCAGCAAATGTCTTATGTCTTTTGCTTAACTTTATGCTTCCTAAAGCCCACTGGCTACATGCTACATGGTGATACCCTAGATACTAGCTCGCTTACTACTTTTTTGCCCTTTTTTTTTTTTTCTTTCGAGATCGTTTCGTTTCTTGTAATCTTTATTGTCGACTTCTTTTCTCTAACAGTGCTGACGATTCGCCTGTATCTATTCCGTGGCTATCTACATCTGTATCTTCGAAACATTCCATACATGCCTGATCTACTCCGCATATATCGTTACTGTTCCGCGCTGTAGTCAAGCTTCTACGGGCTTTCTGTGCTTCATTCATTCCCCACTTTCCACATTTGAAGCTCCCCTCCAACCCGCTCCCTAGCTGCTTTCTCACCCCAAGGACAAAACATTGTTAATAAAGACCTATACGGACCTTACGAACAGATCATGTGCCAATGCCGCGTATTTCTAACTTAGCCATCCTAAGGGCCTATCAGCAGAATCCACTCCTTCCGTTATTGCTCCGAGAATGCCGATCGCATGACTCTGCAAAGAATGAACTTCGCTGGCTCCAGGAGAGAGCCAGTCGCACTATTACGTCCAAACAGGTTGCACGGTCTACACTCGCCCCCTTGGGGTGGAGAAGGCTCCTTAGATCGATGTGCCATACTCGTTCGAAAGGAATGCCCCTGCAGTATATCCTAGGCGATCAACCCTTCGGCGAACTCGACATCCTGTGTGAAAAGGGTGTGCTGATTCCAAGGTACACCCAACTTGCCTGTTTTGCTCTAGTGATATTTGCAACAAAACCTCGATATATCTAATACATCTATCTTCCTCCAAAGCAGGGCAGAGACGGAGACATTCACCATTCAAACTGCCAAATTGATCTTGGACAACATTCAGAAGCACGGGCGTCATGAATTTGGTCAACAACAAGGTTCCTTCCGCATAGTTGATCTCTGTACAGGTAGTGGCTGCATATCGCTGCTCTTGCATGCGCTCCTTGCCCCTCATATTGGTCGGCTTTCGATTCTTGGGATTGATCTCAGCCCTGCGGCCATTGGATTAGCCAACAAGAACCTTGCGCGTAATGTTCAACAAGGTCTGCTTTCAAATCGTGCTGCCGCCGAGGTTTCTTTCCAGCACGGCAACGTTCTCACCCATGACAGCACTGGACTTCCTTCGGCAATGGAAGTGCTGCGCAATTACCAAGGACTTTCCTTTGATAGGGAGCCAAAATGTGATGTGGTCATCTCAAACCCACCATATATATCCCCTGAATCATTTCGTGACGGTACTACCTCACGTAGTGTCCGGGTTTTTGAACCAAAGCTTGCACTGGTCCCTCCGTCCGGAGATCCTACTATTGGATTAGGACTCAGTAGACAGGCGGATCTTTTCTACTATCACATCATTTTGCTATCATTCCAGATTCGGGCGAAGCTTGTGGTGCTCGAGTGCGGCGACCACTCACAGGCTAGGCGGGTATCTGCTATTGTCAAAACATTGTCCAGCGGCTATCGGCTGAATTCCCTGTCCATCGAGATCTGGTCTAGTTCTGGGACACCCATTAGTGACGAAACCTCTTCCGAGAATGGACCCTGCGCAGTTGTTCTGCATAACTGGGCAGTAGGCTCCTAGGGCATTCTTGTAGTATACAGTGGTCGAGTGGTGTTAGAACTTGGGACTTAGAAGTGGAAACTTAGGAGTATGAGTATATGATAATAATAAGCATTTTATATTCTGATCTAGTTAAAATTGTATATTTATCCTATATATATAGAGTCGTGTTAAAGGGACCTCCCGGGAAGCTATTTGGATCTCCCTGTTACAGACCCTTGTCTAGTGTACTTATTAAAGGAAGGTATATAAGGTAGAATATTATAGGATAACTATTAAGGATAGCCGATAACAGGACAGCTAACAC